AATGTACACTCAGTACCAAAAAAACCTGACCAAAGAAAGATATCAACACAACCATGGCACTGTATCCAGGTTACGTGGACAAAAATGTAAAGAAAGGAGGCTGGGCTGGGCGCAGCGCAGGATGCTGGACTAGATCACCTCCACCAGTCCCTTCCAACCTATTAGATTCTCTGATTAAGAAAAGCTCAGTGATCCAGTTAAAAGTTAAAGAACGTGTGTCTCTTTTTTTTTTTAATCCATATAAAAGAGATACTTCATTAGAGGCAAGCTTCAGGAATGCTGGTGTTATAATTTCTTTACAAATGGAAGACCTCGACAATCCCTCCCTAAAAAAGATTTAATCTTCCCACAATTAAGAGCACTGAACATAAGATGACTTTATTTTCAGTATTCCTTAAGAGAACATCTAAAATTTAGCAAGATAAGCTATTATTCTTCCCCAAGCACAGCTTTAGATGAATTATCTGCTTTCATGATGATAAACTTCATGAATTTTATTCACAAAGGGAAGAAAGGATCTGTCAAAAAGAAAGAGTTGACTGAAATAATGTTCATTCTTTCTACAGACTTTTCACAGATTCACTAGGTTGACTATGATCCAATGGGATGTAAAGATTGGGACTTCAATAATAGCATCATCGGAGAAGACAGACAACATTTGTCTCCACAGTACAACGTCTCAAGGAGCATTTAGAGAACAATTTCCAGAAGCAGTTCTCCAAGCACCTTCTTCCACATGTGGCTGTTCGCTATACTATTGAAGTGACACATGAAATCACAAAAAAACCATTTAGATGATACAACATGAATAATCTAGTATTATAGAACTTTTAAGTTGACATGATTGCCTACTCTTCTATCCACCAGAGCACTCAAACACAGCTTGACTCATAAAAACTGACTAACAAAACTGATCCCAGGCAGGTGAGTATACAGGTGAGCCTGGTATGAAGCCAATTTAAATGTAACTGGAATCCTGATTTCTGCATAAATTGTTTCATCAGTTCCCATCCCAAACAAAGCAGAGTGACCACTATATATAACGTTTAACAAATCATCAGTAAGTCTCTGAGTTTTTGCAGCTTTTTAGTATTTTAAGCCAGAATTTCCAGAAGTTCTGAAAATCTGATCTTACTAAGTATGAAACTAATCACAAAGTTCTCCAGTTGCCACATATTTCTGAGTTCACAATAGCAAGAAGTTACTGTGGAAGAGTGAACAATTGTGTGACAGGTTTTCAGGCATAGAAGAAAACATAGCATACACTTTTGGCATTCAGTAAGAAAAACGACGCTTCTGAATGACCTAATTGTGGCAGAAGATAAGGTGTTTCCAACTGGTGTGGAAGAGTGTGCTTCTCCGTTTGTTCCCTTGTATACCTGCAATTCTTAAGGAGTTTTTTTTCTTACAGAATCATCAGGGTTGGAAGGGACCTCTGGAGATCATCCATGCCAACCCCCCTGCCAAAGCAGGGTCACCTACAGCAAAATTTGCACAGGATCACGTCCAGGTGGGTTTTGAATATCTCCAGAGAAGGAGACTCCACACCCCCTCTGGGCAGCCTGTGCCAGTGCTCGGCCACCCTCAAAGTATGGAAGTTTTTCCTCATATTCAGGTGGAGCTTCCTGTGTTTCAGTTTGTGCCCGTTGCCCCTTAACCTGTCACTGGGCACCACTGGAAGGGAGGTCTGGCTCCATCCTCTTGACACCCACCCTTGAGGTATTTATAAGTATTGATGAGATCCCCTCCCAGTCTTCTCTTCTCCAGGCTGAACAGAGTCAGTTCCCTCAGCCTTTCCTTATCAGGGAGATCTCCAGTCCCCTCATCATCTTCGCTGCCCTCCACTGGACTCTCTCCAGTAGTTTCTTGTCTTTCCTGAACTGGGGAGCCCAGAACTGGACACAGCACTGCAGATGTGGCCCTCCCCAGGGCAGAGCAGAGGGGGAGGAGAACCTCCCTCGACCTGCTGATCACACTCTTCCTCATGCACCCCAAGATACCATTGGCCTTCTTGGCCACGAGGGCACATTGCTGGCTCATGGGCAACTTGCTGTCCCCCGGGACTCCCAGTTCCTTCTCCGCTGGGCTGTTCTCCAGCAGACCAACCCCCAGCCTGTACTGGTGCATGGGGTTATTATTCCTTAAGTGCAGGACCCTACACTTGCCCTTGTTGAACTTCATCAGGTTCCTCTCCACCCAACTCTCTGGCCTGTCCAGGTTAATCCTCCATAACAGGATCTAGTATTGATCAACCAGATCATTATGTAGCTAATGCTCTGTAAATGAATCCAATTATTACGTCTGAATTAAAATGCTTCAGTTTTAGAGCTGCACTGATATTGCCAAACAAGAAAGTATTTTTTTCAAGGGTGTCAGTACTGTTTCTAAGGTTTGAGATTCCTATTTTGAAGACGATCTTCTTGGGAGAACTAGTAATGCACAAATTTTGCAGTACTCTTCAGAATGCAATAGTACACCAGTACTCATGGCTTCCAAACACAGGATACTTTCTCTTTTATTCTGTTTTTCTTGCCTAGTGCATATAGTGTTTTTTCTTAGAAAAACAAGGTACAACAAAAGCCAATATAAATATTGTCCTAAGAACCAGTAGATTAAGAATACTGTTAGCAATAGCAAGCAAGAAGCTCTTTGAATACATCCAGAAATCCACCCTTTCAGAGACTCATTCCATATTCAACTTCTTAAGAACCTAAAAGAAGTCTCTATTAAACTGTTCGTTATGCTTCATATTTTGACCAATTTTCGTTGGGTCTGAGCTGGGGAGGCTTTTCAGAATTGTTGTTTCCTATACAGAAAAATGTATCTGTGCAGGAGCCTGTTAAACATCAAAATGGAATAATTACGTATTATATCCCCATAGCAATTATTTTGTTAGTCTAAATCTATTAAATAATTCTGTTACACTGTACATGCTTAAAAATCATAAATATTTCATGTGACTTTTTATTAACTGATTACAGACATCCTACTTTAAGATCACACCTGTTTAAACAAACTGAAAAGAACATTCGTATGAACAGTACTTAAAAGTCACAAACTACTACCTTAGATATAATGGGAGGTTTGCTTTAAATACACATCTTGGTGACATCAGGACTGGAACAGCAGTATCCTCAAGAATGCTAAACAAGAAGGTTGTCTTCAATGTTTGCAGAAAAATGTGCAATGAATTCCTCATTTTAAATATTGATATAAAGTTGTGGTAATGCAGCACTCAAAAATACCATTAGGGTCACGACCAGAGGAGTGGTTCAAAAATGTGTATGGCAGAGCTTGGCGGGGCGGGGGGGAGGAGGGGTGTGTGTTTCCTTTTCTTCTTTAGAATGCCTTCATGTAGCAAAAAGCTCCCCTGCTAGCCTAATTTAATGCCTTCATTTTTCTAATTACACTGAAACATCAGTTAAGAGCCTACCTGATGTTTTGGAGAATTTGCTGTGCTGGGATTGATATTCCGCAATGCCTAAGAGTAAAAATAAGATGGATAAAAATTACTTTAGCTGCATGGTTTGCCTATGCAGGCTGTCTTATAAACACCATCTTGTAGTATCAAGCCCCCAAGACAGGCCAGATGAGACAGGATAAGGGAGTTAAGAAACTAGAAAAATCATGACACAGTGAAACAAAACTCACAGATTTACCAAGGATGCGGATTTGACAGATAAGCTTAACCAGGGACAACACCACAAAGGAAATGGCTGTCACCTGGTCCAAAGTTAGTCAGGTTCTCAACGACAACTGAGGCAAGAAGACAATTAGAAGGCCTACCTAGAAGCATGCTAGCACAGGTAAAATGTTTGTTGGTGGATTAATTGCAAAGCAGAAACAGCAGAAGCCCAGGTGCTTAAGCGGAGAGAAAGTCCTGATGCCACCTTTGCAACGTATTCGTACCTAGAGTACTATAAAAAGTAACGGCTGTAAAGATGACCCATCTTACACCAAGAGATGCTGATGATTCCTGCAAAACAGGCCTTGACTACAAAGGGGGTAACGGGAGTCAGATTCAAGGACAGAATACTGCAGGTGACGAAGAAAGAGAAAAGCTGTCTTTGAGGACATTAAGACCTTATCCTCTCCTGATACAAGGCCCATCACCCAAAGTGAAAAGGGAACAGGGTAAGATTTTAGAAGGTTTTCCTCAAAGAAAAGATTAGTGCTTTCTCTGGCAGTATCAAAAAACCAAAGAATATCCTAAGTATCTAGCACAGATGGTAGTAACTCTTAAAACATTCAGATGGAAAAATCGAAGCAGAAGGCTTAGCGACAAAAGTAAGTCAAGCCCGAATTCAAAATCCAGAGATTCCAATGTCCAGTTCTACACTTTAACATTTGCTACAGCTATATTCGTGTAGTAGAAAAATACCGGAAGGACTAGCTTGGAGTCTAATTATGAAGTTTGAAATTTTCCAGCATATGAAAACCACAGGTTCAAAATGCAGCACGAATGGTTCGGTTGTTCCATGCTCCACTCCAGTGTTTAACAGGTAAGATTTTAGCAACAAGGTGTCTCCTCAGTGTATCTTTCTTACACTTTAAAAGTACTTTGAAATCCTACAGATTATGACAGGTCCTAAAAGTGAAAGATTTTCCTCCACTTCAAATGGAGAACTAAAGCAGCTGTGGGAACCAACTTCTTGCCTTTTTGCATGACTCAGAACTCACTGAATATGACATATATTCTCAAGAGGAGTATCCAATCAGATCAACAGTCCATGATGTCATCCTAAGAGTAAAGAAGCCTGCTCTCAGAGAGTCTTGTTAGAGAGGAACGAGGGAGGAAAGCAAAAACCTTCAGTCTGGTAAGTCAGATGCTTTCTCTACCAAGCCGAGACCAGTAACAGAATGAATTCAGATCTTTTTAGATCTCCAAGCTTTTTGTACAGTCACCGGTCTTTAAGACTCACCGAAACAACAACTTAGCCAAAACGAAACATAACACACAAAAGAAATAGTGGAAGTCGGTGTCTAACCTGTGGCCTCACCTGCCGAAGCAGTTCTTGATGCTTCAGTCTCAGCCTTTCCTTCTCCATCTGTAGCTGCTGAAGTCTCATCTGTTGTTGCTGATTGGAGCTACTCCCACCCATCACACCCCCCTGGGGACTCTGAGGAGCCAGGGGGGGTGGCTGTTTCACTGGAGCACTTTGGCTGATGCGCTGATTCATGGCTAAGGAACCAAAACAATAAACAGTTAAAAATGAAATTCAAATACATGCAAGGAAAGTAGTATCCTTAGAAGGCATATATTGAAAACTTTATAAAATTACAAGCCATGACAGTACAAAACATGCAGCTACACCGATGTTCAGAGCGTGAAATGTATGCTCGCATGTTATTCCTGTGAAATCAATACAACAGTCTCATGTTTAAGAGTATGTACTTGTTCTAAAAGCTTCTGAAAACAGTTTTAAATGTGTAAGTTGGTGCAAAATTCAAGTGGTAGTAAAATATTTCAAGTTTAATTAGAAGGATCTCTTTCTCCTTCATAATAAACTATGCTCAATTTAGACACAAATAATTCAAAATCACTTTTCTTATTCACGCGAAACCTTAGAATCATTAAGAACACATAGAATGACAAAACAGATCATCTCACTTATACCAAACTACATTTGGTTAAAGGCTACCATTCTCTCTCAATGCGGTGCAGGTCATGCAACAATCATTCACATCCTTGTCACATCAAGTTTTGAGTGTTACAGACTCCATTTAGGGCATCTTGACATACAAAATTAGAGCTGCTACAGAAACGGCAGATGAATGATACAGCTAAAAATACTGCCATCAACATAGCAAACATTTTGCTAGTGCTTCATTTCCTTTTACCACATAGAAGTATGTGATGCATCTTTTCTGGAGTGTGGAGAAGAAAAGGTGTCGTCTTGTATGCCTAATGCACAGTGAGAATCCATCTTCCCTTCCCCCACAAAAGCGAGACCTAAGACAATTTTGTTTTATAAAATAACGCATGACTAGGATACATCTACTTGACAGGACTAATTTTTTCGTGACATGAGACCAGTATGGTTAAAGTCAACAGAGGCACCAAGTTCCCAAGTGAAACAGAGGGCTGGGAAAGGCTGAATGTACTACAAGGGCACTATTTTCAGGGGCGTTTTGGAATTAGCTCTCCATCTTGTTGTCTGGAACAGCCTGAATCTGCTAACATTCACAATATGCTGCAGAATGCATTTGTCGAACCAGTGATGGGAGAGTGGTAGGGGTTTTTTCTTCTTTTTTTTTTTTTTCCCTGGGAATGAGGATTATGGTTTATGGGAACTAAGGAAAAAAAATGTAATGAGTGAGCTTCTTTTAGGATGACAGGCTGATTTGGTGCAAAGAAAACCATCTGTTGTATTAGTTTGAATTAATGTTTTCATCATATAGAGAGGATTCCTGGAACACTAACACTTCTAACTATCGTAATAAAGGAGGATTATCTCATAAAGAATCTGTATCCTCTTTTCTCTGAAAAACCCTTCAGTCTCCACTGTCTTTTGAGTGTTCAACTTATGATACAGTAATGTTTTTCCTTTATTCCAGAAAAGCCTAAATACATTTATCTCATAATAGCAGTAAAAATGGCTGCTGCTTCACAGCCTTCCTCCCTTTTCCCCTTGCCACAGCTCATCTTTCCATTCAGAGGCAATATATGAAGACGAAATGCCATATGCTCACTGGAGTGAGAACAGAAAAGGAAAAAAAGTCAAAAGCAGTTACAGACTCAACTCTCCAGTCTACTCTTTCAACTATTCCATATGTCCAGCACAAAGTCAATAGTCTAATAGACAGGTGGGTCACATTTTCATGAGTTAAATCAAAATAAAATGAAGTGTCAAATAGCTTGAAGTAATTTGAAATCATCTTTTATGCAGTTACTTATAAGAGAGCTTTATACATACGATCACAAATAAGACTTCTTGTGAAGGTAAGTGAACAGGTAAAGCAGGAGTAGAAACTGAATCCCAGTACCAACTAGAAACACCAGAGTGAATATGAAGGGCTGGAGGTTCAACCTGCAAGTCCCATCCTGACCCAGCAGGGGAAAAAAATTGTGGGAAGATGACATTTAAAGCAGTCGATCTTACGAGACATCCAGCACCGCTTCACCATCAAAACTGAACTTCAGGAAGAAGGTGACCAGGATAAGCCAATTAACCAGCTTTGCGACATGAGCTGTGGTCCCTAGGCCAGCGAGAGAAGAGACAGGACAGCTTGTTCCTCTGCTGAACAGACACAGAAGGTTCCTGCACCCCAAGACGCCAGAAACTGTTAAGCAAAACGTTTCAAGAGCACCAACAGCTGTCCTGCAAGGATGTGAGCAGTGAGCTGCTCCAGGACCTCCACTGGGCAATCTCTCCTGGAAGACTGACAGCAATTAGACTACCAACATTTACCAAATTAGGGCAAAGCTGAAGCTAGACAGAGCAATGCAAAAAGAAAGGCAGCCCACCTAGCAGCTCTAGACAAGCTAGACATTACACTGCTGGAGTGGGCAATGTATCTCCTCCTTTCTCTTTTTTAATCCAGAATCCTATCAAGTCTGGAACCAGGACTGTGCCTTTTGCTTTCTGTATCTTGCCCTCTTTTATCTTAAAAGCAGGTAGGACACAACAGAAAACAGCCTTTTCTTGCTGTCAGCTAATTCTGCAACTCAAGCAGAAGTCTGTGCTGCTCATCAGAACTTCCAGGATTCACACCCTGTTATTAAACAAGATAAAAGGTCAACTACAGTGGAAAGTAAAGAGGGATAAAGGACAGAAAATTGCAATGACCTGAAAGAAGCACATCTAAGTTAAAAGTAAACTACCTAGTTTGTAAAAATGAAGTACCCAAAGCTGAAGAATGTCAATTTTCTTTTGGTTAAAAGGCTACCTTTATGGTCAAGTCTCCTATCATATCATCATGGTTTCAGAGTCCCTGCCTCATGCAGTTCACAGCCAAGTCCTGTTACAGAGAACCTCATAAAAATGTAACATTTCTAAACTTAGTCAAACACTTAAGTGCAGCATCACTGACATCACTTCAACATGCTATGAATTTGTTTTTCCTGCATGCACCATGCAAGTATTACTTCCCTACGTCTCTCTTCCACTAATACGCAGCTTTGGAAATAATTTCCTTCTCATGCCAGACTCTTCATATTTTCTGTACCTATAGCTTTCAGCTGCTTGTACTACTCCTGTTCTCTCTGATCACAGTTTGCTCCATTCTTCCCACCTACTGACTCTGCAACTAAAACTGTAAGAAACAAATCATGTTTGTCTGATGTTCTTCATTTTCTTCCCTCCTCCTAGATCCCTGAAATGCCTTCTAATTTCCATTTTGAAAGTACTGTTTCTAACCAAGAGTGTATTTAAACCAGGAATATCGTAAGATATTGAGACTTCAGTGTATACTTAATCCATAAATATTGGGGGAAAATTTAGTTATATGATTTGGTAACTCTTCAGAAACCAGACCTGAAGATCTAGTTTCTAAATTCTTATTCAGGTATCCATTAAAAGGGTTTTTCTGAGCATTTTATCATTTCAAGAATGCAAGTACAAAAGACTTCAAATTGACAAGATTTTAAACTGTCCTCAGAACAGACCATAGAGATGTTTTTCAGGTAAGGGAACGATTTTTAACTCTGAAATTAAACTAAAAGTTTGGACAGTAAACAAAGATACTGCTAACTGAATTTCACTAACTTAACAACATATTCAAGTGAAGAATCAGTGGGGGAAAAAACCCAACAGTAATAACACTGAATGATTTTCAGCTATCTTGACTGATTACACAAGTGTGCTATCAAGAGAAACAGAAAGAAGAATGTAATTTTCTATAATTTCCAACACAACATTTAAGGCAAAGAGGGAAAACACATCTTGTTTCAAGGAAAAACAGGGGGTTTTAAAGTTTTGGTGGTGGTGGTTTTTTTTGTTCTGGTTTTGGGTTGTTTAGTGCTTTTTTTTTTTTTTAATTCTCAATTCTCCACTACTTGCTGAGAGTATGACTGCAGAAATCTGCACTCTAAAGAATATGCTTATCAATGTGATCTCAGACAAGCATGTCTTATTTTTTCCATACCTCATGGGTCTGTGATGATCCTGACACTCACAGCTCTTTTTAAGTGCAATTCAAAGGCAAAAAGCTTCGTTTATCTATTAGAGTTAGGACTTAGCAGTTTTCTAATGCATCCTGTTCCTTACCTTCCATGGCTATGGAAAGCATTTAAATAAGGGGCTCTGCACCCACACAGGGGAGGCTGCAAAGACCTCACAGGCAGAGAAGGAACAAACAAGTCTTTGTTTCTAGAAGAGGGGGATTTGAGGAAGGAGGAGGAGGGGCAGACAAGTTAAAAAACACGGGCAACTTAAGACAATAAAAAAAGATCTTGCTGTCCTATAATATGGCTTAGCTTCACAATCTGCAGAATACAGTCAATTGTAATAGTTGCAATATGCTTTGGAGAACAGAGAATGAGTGGTCTTCAAATGTTATACATTAAATGTTCTATCATCCAAAGTCAACAGCAAAATGCCTGATCTGTACTGTAGCAGCTAATACTTGACTTATTGAAAAAAGTTTAGGCTGCTGTCTACATCCTTAACGGGGGGGGGAACAGGACCAAAACCTGGTGCTAGAGAGAAAAGGCCAGCAGATTGCTAACAACTCAAACATGAAAGGCTAATTCTCTCCCAAGATCCTGTGTCAATTTAAACCTCAGGTCCCAGGGCGCTGACAGTTTCCAGTAACACAGCACCTTTCCCCTGTGCAGAATGACATGCAAAGTTTGCTGTAAAGATCCCTGAATGATTAACAAACACAGCTGAATGTTTGAAGGTTTTTTCTTTTGTATCTATCATTACACTCTTCAAAACCAAAACTAAATTTTATCTGCAAATTTACAGACTTTATTTATTTGAACAAACAACATCAAAAAAGGTCAGGATCTGAGCACACTATAATTTACTGTTCTTAAGAAACAGTGTTTTCATTGAGGGAACTGAAAAAAAACTACTTGTCCCCTGCAGCTTCATTTGGAAACTAGACAGGTTTTGTGCATCATTTTTGGCTATGGCCAGGTTTTTGAATGGTGCTAGTTTGCAGCACTGCAACAAAGGCAAAAATCCTCTTTGATTAAATTGAAAAGAGCTGTGAAGAAAAAAAAAAAATCACCAG